ATCATTACGAAAAAAAGAGAATTGAAACTTTCTATGTGTTTTACCACTTTCATTTGTAACTATAAGGACATTTTCAAACTTATACATTAAACTAACAATGATTGATTACATTAACTCTTATATAACACCACTGTAGTTAATAATAGAGGTACTTATCTCAATTAAGTACCTGAATTCTGTTTACTTGTGACAAGTAGGCAGTGTATATCACTTTGGCTAACCCCATTAAGGTGGTATGTGCATTTTGAGCATTTCCATCAGTTCTGAGAGGTTCATCTTCCTTCCCTTCCGGAAATGCCCTTAAAGAGAATTTAGGGCATTTTCGGAGATTTTAGACTCCTCAATTGGTTCCCTGATATTCTACAAACAACTTTGTCATCAAATTTTAACCAGCCATACTTTTCATTCGCAAATGTGTAGTAATAGCCGGAATCTACAGATGTGCCAAGGTGGAACGTTCCAAATTGCAACGTTGGTTTTTTGAAAAATAGGTATCTTTATGAATGTTCTGGCATTTAGTATAAGCAGCGCAGTCGTTGACGAACTAGTGGAAAGGAGCAACTGTTTCCATTCAACAGCGCTGCCGAGGGTATTTAAGCCGGTTTATTCTGAACCACTCAGTGATACAGCTGAGTAGCACTTGTTCAGCAGCAGTTGATAAACAATTGAAAATCAGCAATTGTCTGCAATGACGTATTTGTTCAGCGTTAATATTCTCAAACATTTTTAAAAAGGTTACTGGGTCTAAGTGTTGTACTGGAAACACTTTAAGATAATTTGGGAATTTTATTATCTTCATTATCATCTCTTTGTCAGTCAGTTCAAAGCAGTTCAAAACATCGGAAAGTTTATAACATCTACAGTTGAAGCAGGAAGTCCAGAAGAGTTTGAAAACTTAGTTAGTCCGAGTGGTGGGAGAATGATATCTGAAGGTCCTTCAAATTATCTTCTAGCTCGCTTCTGGTTCCACACTCTCGATCCGCATGTCGAGACAAACACTGTTTTACCTCAATATACTTCAAACAAAATGTTGCAATCAAATTCAATAGTCAATATGTTTTTGAAAACAGCAACGGAAAATGATATTTCATCCTTAAATTATGAAAAATGGATTACACGATATGGATTACATGGATTACACGAAATTATTGATCTCAATGCACCTCACCTATTTCCCGCTCTCAATCAGTAATTTGTATATAAAATTATAACTTTCATAAGTACTACTTATCAGGTTTTTATAAGAATCATTATAGGAATAATTCGAGCTCTACAGCAATATCGATTTCCACTGGATATCGTCCAATCTGTGCTACAAATCGCACTTTCGAAGGTAAGACCTAGTTAATCCTTAGCTCACACAAGTTTCTACTTCTGAGGGTTTTCATTCATTAGTTGGTTAACAGAAAACAGCTTTCAACATATTTTTTTCCAGAACAATTTCTTTTCTTGATGTATTTTTGAAAAGTTCTGAAACATCATCTGACGGACCATATGTCTGCATTAAAAAAAATTAATGACTTCAGCAGCAGTTATGTATTCTCTTGATAAAAATGAATATGTGTGAAAATGTTTATGTATGACTTATAATCGCAACCTGAAAAAGAGAAGCAATAGAAATTTGAGAAATGAAGAAATGGACGATCTTACTGAAGAATACAGAGGAAAAAATATTTTTACAAGCAGAAAGAATACTTCTTATTCGTTTATCCTTTGTACTGAATAGTTGGTTGGATATTAATAAAATCATTCAGACACGCCTGAAGAAGGTATTGTATAGCGAAACAGGTTGTGGTTATGTACAAATCATATGAGTCCGATAATTTTTTCTACTTTTCTTTTCAGGAAGTGTTCAAATTGATGATCTAATGATTGATCTAATTTTTTGAATTCATTCAGCAATTCGCGAGCAAATCTATAATGAAGTTTATTGTCTTGAAATTATTTTTGATTTATTGTATACGTCTTCCAAGAGGGACTTCCGAACTTTGATAATTTATAACGGACATCTTGTTGAAGTTACATCAGTCAAATTAGTTGTCATTTATTCAGCATATAGCATTCAACAACACGTGCAAATAATTTTTTTTTTATCAAAATGGGTGTTCTATTCAGGCAACGTACCACGTGCTTCGCCTATTTTACGGTCGCCATAATCGTCCTACCAAGAGAACTGTTCGCAATGAGTCTACTGACTCAGTGAACGATCGACCTACACCCGTACGTTGACGAAACGCAAGATCTGCTGAAAACATCTCTGTTGTCTGTGAAAGTGTTCAGGAGAATCCGGGCCAGTCGATTTTCGCGTTGCTCATAAGAACTCGGCTTTTCGCATACTTGGCGAATTTTGCCTGCACCCATACGATTTGGGCCTGAAGGTAAACAACCACTCGCAGAGTCGGTTTTGGAGGAGTTGGTAAGCGACCAATTCTGGATGAATGCGTACATGAACAAACGAAATGGTCGAATTTGGAGCGATACCAATCCATATAAGATCCAAGAGTGTCCAATGCATCCCGAAAAAGATGGCATCAGTAGGTCTTTCAAAAGAATGAACAATTTCAATGATTTCTCAAACTCTTTGTTTTATTTGAATTCAAGGAAGCACTTAATGAAAGACCCTATATATAGTTTTTAATAAATGTTCGATTCAGCACCACTAAGGCGGTCAAAAAAAGAAGAAAAAAACGTATCACTTTATACTTAGTAATCTAGCTAGTGATATAGTTCATTCATAGAAAAAAACACTAGGAAACAGTAGATAATCGTGAACTGTTAGATTCCGGATGACAGACCAGTGTAACCTTTCATTGGACTGCAATCAGTCATGTGCCACTCATTGATTTGTAGCGCTACTGCTCAACGGCTTAACAGTGCTGCTAAAACGGTCGAAGTGCTGTTGAAGTACGTTGGTGGTGATTCTTGGAAGATTGAAAGAAGAAGGCGGAGAATTAATCGCACTACAGTGAACCAGACGCGAAAGGTGATTTGAAGTTAGTGACATGGTTGGTTCATATAAATAAGATACTAAATGTGAGATGAATGTTTCGATAATTTTCATTTCAAATAACTTGCTGGTTTCAATTGTTTATCAACTACTGTTGAAAAGTGCCATTCAGCTGTACCACTGAGTGGTTCAGTGTAAACCGGCTTCAATACCATCGGTAGCGCTGCTGAATGGAAACAGTGTTTTCTAGTGTTTGTCAACGATGGCCTAAAGGCCAGTTCCTTCATAAAGATACCTACTTTCGGAAAAAAACAATGTTTTCTGAATCTTTTTATCTTCGTGGTGTTTTGAGGTGTAATAAGTACGCTACAAAATGCCTGAGGGCCAACTGTCAACTGTCTCTATAGTCACCGATTAAACGGCAATCAAGCTCAGATCGTGCATCATTTCACATCCTGGCTATCCTGTCCATATATTCAATAACACATGGCGCAGTCGGGAAATTGGAATTGAATAGTAAATCTTCAATCATCCGATGCTGAAAACCAGTTAGTTTTATTAGTTATTCATCAATCAAAGAAAATCATGGTCGTGTCTGGTCACTGCAGATGAGGAAGATACCTTAGACGCATTATTGAAGAAGTTTGACCAGCATTTCAATCCAAAAAGCATCCTGACGTTCAAAATACATATGTTTTTGTTATATAAACAAAAAGAAGGGCAAACTGTCGAACAATTTATAACAGAAATCAAGAATTTATCACATAACTTTGAGTTCGACTGCCGTTTAATCGGTGACCATAGAGACAGTTGACAGTTGGCACTTAGGCATTTTGTAGCGTACTTATTACAGTGACAAACTAGCAATTTGAATGGAAAGAAATACTTATAACCTGGTTTTTTATTTAACTCAATGATATGAAATTAATCGTTGGAATATGTGATGGAATGGCTGATACTTGATCAAAATTCAAGTATTCAAGTGACATTTTATTGTGAGATATTCCCTGAACAGTTTACAGAACCGCAATACGTGTTTTACTATACAATAGCTTTCTTAGGCGTGATTATACTGTAGGAATATGCCTGAAGAAGATAGTGTATAGTGAAACACGTGTTGCGATTTTGTAAACCGTTCCGTGAATCTCTCCCAATGAAGTGTTACTTGAATTGTTCTGTTATTTTTTTTTTCATATTTATATTACCATATTTCTTGTAATGCATACTAGGAAAGAGGAACAGCCAGTGAGGGGATTCAAAGCCCGATAGTTGGCACCGATGTCTTTAAATCAGTTATTCTCTGATTTCGATGTTGACAGAACACCTGTTGGATAAAAAGCTGCAAAGGCGCTTCAGTGAGATACGCATAGTAGAAATAGATCTTAAGGAAATAAGATTCATTCTTGTCACTGTATGATGACTACATATTGTCTGAAGATTTCATTTAGAATTTTACAATTTCGGAGTTTGAGTTCTTGTGAAAAATAAAACACAATCATTTATCATTTCCACTATAATAACATATTTTTGTGATTGTGTGAATTATCCTTACAGGATGCCGTATTGCGTTTTATTGTGTTAGTGATTGTTTCACATCTCATCCACCATTCTTTCCAAAGGAAAAACCGCATTCAGTTCATTATCCAGAAACATTAAATTCTGAAACAAAACTGAAAAGTCCAAAAGAACACGAGAGGCGTTCTGCTGAAGTAACGTGTCTTTTATGGTAGCAAGCTAATGATCATGTTAGGTACAAGCAACCAACCCCCTGTCAAAGCACCGAGAAGGGGTAGTAAACTCTTCCAGCGGTGGGGATGACATCGTAGCGGGCAGGGATGTGACAAAATGGCCTGCAGATCAGTCGGCTAGTCGCGATTTTCCTTCAACCGCATTCAGCAGGGTGGTAGATTTCCCGCCAAAGTTTGAAATTCGGGTGAGAAAATTTTTGGTGATATTTTGAAGTGTGCGTGGTTTTTGGACTTTGAAGTCGAAGATAACCGTCAAAATTGATCCTTCCATTTGGGGAAAGTTGAGATCCGGACAAGGCCGGAGGATGGGAACAGGTGAGATATTTTTTATCAGTTGAAATTGAAATTTGAGAAAAGTGTTCATTTTGTTTTTATGAAATCCATCAATTTTCGTGTCCAATACCTTTTCGCCAATTTAAAATCAAACTCATAAGAATACATCTGCCTCTCTTGTAGTTCAAGAAGTAGTATCGAGTAAGCATGTACACTTGTTATCTGATTATTTATCAAGACGATAATTCATTTCATTAAATTATTTCCATTGAATCAGGAGAATGTTTGGTACATGATTTACTAAAAGATAAAACTATTCAATAATCTCTCTTCTCAGATACGAGAACTGTAACACATTTCTTCATGTGCCTTTGCACTTCAATACTTCCAGACTTTCCAAAACTGTAGTATCATGCTCCGGTGTCATCAATTCAGAACAATGTTGATTTACTTACTTTCTGGAAGTTATCCAAGCGACACTATAGACTCTTCTATTCGATACATGAGATACTCCAAATGCCAACTAGTAATTCCACAGGATCTCCTCTAGTTACAACTGAAAAAGCCAAAAAAATTGGGTTGGAGTATCTCCTCCTCAATAGCAACAAGAAAGGTTCTATGGTTATTTTCTATATTGTTAGTTTTTAGTTTCAAATTGTCTCCCAATGCCGAAAATTTTCATAAAAAATTAAAAATCTCATAGTATTCCCGTACTTAGGAAAAAATGTTGAAATGTTTTCCATAGAACTTTTCGCGAAGAATAAAATTACTCTCTTAATAATTTTGGAGCTCTCCAGACTTACACTTTTCCTTTTTCCAACTCAACTCAAAATCCAATCATCTGGAGTCCATAAAGACCTTAACAAACGGTGAGACTTGATATCTCTATCTGTCTGACTTTATATAAAATAAATGTCTACGTNTTCTTTGATAATCAGGAGTTGTAAGGTTTGGTTCATCGAACCCTAGGGTGAGACCCTGTATTTTCCATTGTCAAATTGGCGGAAATTCGGTAGAAATATTGAAGAAAACCAAATGCTGAATTGTCGACGTTTAGAAACTTTACTTTTTCATCTTCAGGACTCTGGAGTGTAAGAACAAGACATACATATTAAAATGAGATTCTAGATTGTAGTTTTGTGAGAAACAAAATTAAATATGTAACAAAATAATCGTTAAAAAGTAGTAAAATGCTTCGAACACTTCACAGAAAAATTCGTTGATGAGTATTTACATTCAGGGCGGCTTTGTTTTCAACAAAATTACATTCTAGAATCCCATTTTAATGTGTATGTTTTGTTCTTATACTTCAGAGTCCTGGAGATGGAATAATAAAGTTTCGAAACGTCGAAAATTTAGCAATAGGTTTCCTTCAACATTTCGACCAAATTCCCGCCAACTTGACAATCGAAATCATATTCAACGGTCACTATCCTATTCAACGATATCTCTTTCATTTCGATCTCATGTAATTATGGAGATTTGGAAGTTTGAGGTTTTTGGGAAAGAATGTCAAAAACCATATTTCATTCATTTTATTTTCAATTCAATTAAAAATCAGTTGTTCTCTTGTTTTCTACAGGTTCCATAGGTTGCGTACAAATTTCAAATCGTCAAATTGATTTGTTCAGAATATACAGGACGTTCCAACGAAAACTTGACCTCCTCTGTAAGTCAGAAAGACATGTAATTTCAAAATTTCAAAAAATACGTCAATTTTTATTCCCAGGGGGACTAATTCTGATATGAAAATCATACCCGAAACTTCACCCCCCTGCGGTCAGCAACTACCCCCTCTATTTTTTTCAATGGCATAGGGGCTCGAGGGATACAGCATTTGAAAGATTATTTTGTCCTCCTATTACCTCTGTAATTCTTTTCGAAATTGGTTCATTCGTTATCGATAAATTAAATATTGAACGTTTTATTCAACAAAAAACAGAAAATTCGTTCATTTCAATGAGGAAATCAACAACAAATAATATCAGTGGAAACAAAATATAATTTGTTCAAAATGACCTCCACTAGTTTTCCACTCTCGAAAGAATTCCGTACATTATTCAAGATGTCCTAAGTCAGCAATCGGCATTCCCCAACAATTCTCTGTCGCAGGTCTTCTAGATTGGTAGGCTTAGTAGAGTACACTTCGACTTCAGATGTTCACATAGAAAAAAGTCCATCGGTGTGCGATCAGGTGATCTAGCTGGCCACTCCGCTGGACCCCTTCTGCCGATCCAACGGATTGGAAAACGTTCGTCCAAAAACTGTCTCACTATCCTGCTGAAATGTTATTTCATCATCTACCAAATTGTAATCATTTTCTGAAATTTGGGTTATCATAGAATCTACACAGTCTTATAATAGATTTGAGTATGTGTTGAGATTACCTTCAATGAAAAATGGTCCAACAATATGATTACCAAGAATGCTGGCCCAGACATTCAATTTTTGTGGATTTTGTGAATGTGTTTCCATCAATAAATAAGGATTCACATCGCAAGGATTCACAGTCCTCACAAAACTGAAATCAACGATCAGGATCATCTTCGTTTAGTTCTTGAACTAGCCTTATTTTGAAAGGATGAAATTGTAGGCTTTCAAAATCCGAAAAACACTAGTAGCTGATACACCAGACGCTCTAGCTACTGATCTGATAGATTATCATTTATCCATTTGTACATGTCCTAAAACTGCAACTTCAACTCCGTCATTTCTGACAGGATGGGATACTTCCATATTTTCTGTTGTGAACAGAACCTGAAGTTCGGAACTTATCCATTAACTGTTTAACGTATTAATGGCTCACGTTGTGGTCTGGAAGATTCGTATTATAAATTCTTGCAGCAGCTTCATCACATTCATTATTTCGATAATAAGTTGCCAATATTTGTATTCCTTCTTCAGTAGAACACAGTGAACAAGGATGTTGGAACACAGTGAACAAGGATGAATGAATAATAATTCGTGAAGAAGTGACAGTGGCCAACTATCTACTTCTTGTTCTGCGACAACTAGATTCAACAAAAACTACCCGTGGTAAAAAAAAACTAACAGTGTCGTCCATTTCAAAACGTTTACTACTAATTAAATAAATTCTACAAATCTAGAGTACCCGCGACAGAGAATTGTTCGGGAATGCCGATTTCTGACTCCGGACATCTTCAATAATTATAAATTAAGAAACACTTTCGAAAGTAGACTATATTATTGTATGTAACTAGATGGAGGTCATTTTGAACACTTTATCCGTTGATTGTGTTGCCACTGATATTACTTTTGTTAATTTTCTCAATAAAATGAGCGACAACGAATTTTCTATTTATTTTTAAATAAAACGTTCAACATTCAATTTCTCAATAACGAATGAATCAATTCCGAAAAAATTACAAAAGTAATACAAAAGACAAAAGACCTTTCAAATAAAGTATCATTCGACTCCGTATGCCATTGAAAAAAATAGGGGGGTAGTTGCTGACCGCAGGTGGGTGAAGTTTCGGGTATGATTTCCATATCAGAAATAAAAATTAACGTGTTCTTTCAAATTTTCGATTACACGTCCGTTTCTGACTCGCAGGGGGATCAAGTTTTCGTTGGAACGCCCTGTATATGAAGGAAACTTCTATGAAGACGATAGATACTTCCTGAACTATTGTAGATATCGAAAACTATTTTGAATAATTTATGTATAGCTATATACATGTAGAAATTATATCACCAGACAATCATTCATTTTTTAACCCTGTCGGAGTTATTGAGGAAAACGTCAAATTTTAATTTTTACTTTTCAACAAATAACACCCATACTATTGAAAATATCGTAAAATGTATTCTACTTTTTTTCATTCCAATGTATGGGTCATAACAATATAACGATATTTTTGAAAATATAAAAAAAACGTATTTTATTTTTCCTATTTTCAATGGAAATAGAAAAACAACTTTGGAGAGATGTGCAGGTACACTTTTAACCTATTCGAAACTCTTCAATTGAGTTCATTAGTTTTGCAGTAATTTAATTCATTAGTAGGACGTCAGCACAAAACTTTTGTCCTCGGAATTCGATGAAGTCGAAGAAGGCCGTTTTCGCCTAGTCCTGATTAGCGGATGTTCTACCGATGAAAAATTTATCGAAATGCTTGAAAATATGGTAGTCGGTTGGCGAGAGGTCTGGGGAGTATGGTGGGTAAGGCAGACCTTCGACGCTCAATTCGTTTAATTTTCGGACGGTGATTTGTTAAATGTCCGGACGGGCGTTGTCGTGGAACAGGATAGGACCTCTTCTGTTGACCAGTGCCGGCTGCTGCTGACGCATTTTTCGGTACATTTCGTCGATTTCCTCACAATAGGATTCTGCTGTGATGGTTTGCCACTGACCACCTTGAAGTAACCATGCTCTATTATTGGTAGATTTTCGTCTTTGGAAAGTGTCTGGGTAACTCATCAGTGTCCAGCTACTGTCCTGAATGTCTGCTGTTGCCATTAGGGATCACTTTTTTATTAAACGTTACCATCCGATCCAAAAAGATCGTTTTGGTTGCGCAAAAGCAAAAAAGAACAGACCTCTAAACGTGATAATTTCTGTCGATCGTTCAAATTGTGGAGCACCCACCTTTCGAGCTTTGTGATCTTTTCAATACATTTTAAACCATCAAAAACCGCTTGGTTGCTGACGCACCACGTACCGTTTGTGCTGGGTCAATCTCCACCAGGATCTTCAAATCCTTGTCCTGGATAACGGTAGGTCTACCACTTCAAGGGTGATCTTCGAAACTCCGTAACGAAATTTCGAAAACCAACACACCTCTATGCAGGATGTGTGAACAAGAAGATAATAATGTCAGGCATGTCCTGTGCGAGTGTCTGGAGTTATCACCAATAAGAGAGTGTGTGTTCGGCGAGTCTTGGCCTATACCTGCTGATATAAAGGAGATGTCTCTCAGAGACCTGTCCATCTTCCTGGAAAGGACATGATAGACGATGACCTGGAGGACAACTCCTCGGGAGGATGTACAATGGGTCACATGTGGCCGATGTGCTGTGGGCCTAAACTCACCCTCCCTACTCTACAGATACAGATACACAACACTATCATTGTCAAATGCCTGGTTTATTTTTCGGGCTGTTTCGGCAGCGTTTGGGTTCAATTTAAATTCGTAGAGAAAAATTGGCCGAAAATCGCTTAACGACATCATATGGTGAGAAGGAGAAAAGAGGCAAAAATTAAAAGTTTGGAAAAAATGAACAGCATCAGTATTCATAGTACAACATTCTTTATCGATTACATGACAATAAAATGAACAAAACTTCTGTAACAGTCCAATATATCTCATTTCGTTTGACAGATAATTGATCGCAAACTTTTGCGAAAGATAGACGTAGAGATAGACACTCCACAAAGTTTACAAAAAAACTTTAATTTTCTGATAAACACCATTGTCTCCAAAGTAAGCATGAGTTTATCTCTCCAAATAAAAAAGTTAGGGTCCGCTCCGAGGTCCTATTCTCTCTAAATGTCTTAGTATCATAACGTTCTAGTAGATAACGTTCAAATCTCTTGTATATAAATGGTTTGGAATTCGTCGTCACCCCATGAAATGTATATACAAAGTCCACAAGGATCCTTCCCGTTTAATCTCAGTATGGAAGTTGTTAAGACACGAAATCAAGGAACAAACATTTCCCGACTTCAAAGACATCATCGGAGTTTAATCCTTGTTCCTTATCCTTACGCCACAAAGCACCTGTCGCCATGACTACGAGATGTTTATTAGACCGGAAACGGATAACTGAATGAATTCCATGAATTGCTAATTGGCTTTGATAAATTTGTGTCTGTTTCATCTTGAATTAATAAGATTTGATAGGGAATTTCTGGCATCTGGAATGATTCAGCCTTTGATGTGATAATGATTTTGTGGAAATATCAGCAATTTCGTTACGCCCGGAGATGGTTCGTGATTTCAGGAAATTTCCTAATTGAGTCACACAATATTCAATATTCTTATTCAAGTTTTCAGAAGTTAAGAAATAAAATAAAATTCACATATCACAGAATTCATTAGTGCTTTGGTAATATCTTTCACACAACAAAATATCATTTACAATATTTGAGAAGCTATCTGGGAAATATATTCTGTTACTGAAATAAATAAACAATACGAAGAGTTTGAATCACATTTTTTTACAAATTGTACTTGATACAATCAGTTACGCAACATTTTCTTGGATTTTTCTAGGTTTGTAACTCAAACACACAGAAAATAACAAGGTTAATGGAGATTTTTCCCAATCATAATGGGTGAATCGAACCCACGGTCTTCCGATCGTGAGTCGGGCGCACTACCACCGAGGCCAATTTCACATTTGTGGGACATATCAATAATGTCGCGGTATCAGCTCATGAAGCGCTTGGCCAAATTGGATCATGACACTTTGATTTGGTATCCTCTCAACAATGTCCACATTGAAACTTTGGAGAAAATAGAAAGACTATTGTCAAAGATAATTCACCAAAAGGTGTAAACTACCCAGCTACCCTCTTCAGAAATACGTAGATCGATACTAAGCATAATTATAATTGAAATAGTCGATATACCTTCATTACTGGATCAAGTTGATTTCACAACGCCAACACAAATAATTTTTCATATTACATTATTTCAAACAAACATGAGTATTTCTCTAATATTTTAAATGTGTTCAGACATTGTTAATGCAATGTTCACTTCGAGTCACTAAAAAGAATCCTGATAGTAGTTGAGCAGAGTATGTAGCATCTTGTTTATTTGAATTGAATTATTGCAGAATGTGGATGAACACACATATTGATGTAACTTTCAAATCTAAACAAGTTTTCCATTGAAATTACTTGATTCTCGAAAAAATTCCATATTTTTCGACCTATCCCCTGTGCTGTTAAATTGAAACCATTCAATTGTATCCAATAATCCAATATCTTATCGAATATGCACTAATTCTGACGGTTTATAATTTTCTATTGTGAAACGATGGCGATGGAAGAAATTTCTATCTGTTGCACACTCAATGAACCACACTGTATACATCATCTTTAAATATATTTTTATTGTGTATTATATAACAAAATGAAATTGTATTGGAAGTATATAACATTAAGGATAAAAACACTTTAACTACATAATATAAAACGTATAAAAAAGAAATTAATACAAATTATGAAATTATGAAACAACAAAAAAAAGCAATTGGCGCTCTTTTCAGCTGCAAGAAAACCCGAAAAAACCTGCAGCACCACATCATCTGAAGATCTTGATTTGTCAATGTCCTCTCTTCCACAGAATAAAATGTAGGCTCCAATAAATTCAAGATATCGCCAGAATATTTAGTGACACCACTATCGTCAAACTCATTGGTCTTTGACCAATGCATAATAATGACCAGATTCAACGCCAGAACCACCGTGAACAATGACTGCATGAAGATTATAGTAGAGGTCTGCTAGATTGTTGTTCATCTATTTCGAACCTTCGTAAGAGTTTGTTGCTTCCGTCAGAGGTTGAGTCATGTTTGAAAATCACCAGTGTTATTATTAGATTGACTGGTGCCTCAGCTATACTTGTTGTCTTATAATAGTCAGTTAGTTCGGCGTATAGTTGGTAATATAGTTGATCATCACCTGTTAAAAGTTCCATTTTCAGCTGATTTAACAATACGCTTAGCACAGACTGGTTATCAATCATATTAGGAAATGCTAGTTGAAGTTCCAGAAAGTCACATATGTTTTTGCTATCTCTTGAACATGTACTAAAAAGTAAACAAGTGAGGATTATTTCAGCAAAAGATCTACAAACACAAGACGAGATAGACTGCACGGAATCATTCAATCCAGAGCGGTCAGGAGAATTGATTCTGCTATTTTCCTGCTCACGAAGAGTATTCAACAAGAACCCCAAGAATTAGGAACAATCCTCTTGTTGTCCTAATGAAATTGGATACAATAAATTAATAAAAACTAAATGATCAGGGATTATGATGAACTTTGCTTTGCAGAAGTTGATACAGTAATTGAAGAGATAAATGAATTTTAGTATATTAGATTATGTTCTGTCGATGATTAACATAACTCAAAAATTCATCAGACAATTGAATTTCAAAACTTAGGTAAAAACTGTTCTAGCAGTTATTCTAAAATAACTTATACAATAAACTGAATATTCAATTTAAATGATTGCAGAAATATTGTCATCAAAACCTTCAAGCAATTCCAGTTATTCGAAACTTAACATTTTCAAAATATTCATATTTTTTGGGGAAGACTCCAAAAAAGACCAAAATTTTTCGTTGTTGCAGGGGACAGGCTACTGGATATCCCTTGTAAAGTATGCGGAGACAGAAGTTCAGGAAAACATTACGGCATTTACAGTTGTGATGGTAAGTGAATTTATTTGAAACTGTCAACATTATTGTTAGAGTAGAAATTGTGTTCTTCGCAAAAGACTTAGAGGTAGATTAAAATATCACTGCTACGAAACTATTTATAACAATTAACCATATTCTGAATTCATTTGATTTTTTTTTCTGATTGATTCATTCATCTGATTGATCTGATCTGATTGATCTGATTGATTCATTAATCACTTGAAAAAGCTAATGTTTAGGGAAACATGTGATATATTTTTTCAAAAAAGTTTGTGGAGATCAAATCGTTTAGGTGTAGTTTGTGACATTTGATTTTTGTTAGATTTTACTCTAGCCAAAAAAAATTGAACTCCTTAAACCGATTCCTTCTAGAAAATATTTTATTCAAGTTCGCGATGATGAATTTCAAAATAATTGAACGTTCAAATGCGATTTTCAAGTTGACCCTAAGAGCTCCATCATGCAATTTTCTGTAGTTTTGCCACCACTCTTGGAACTGAAAACAGGCGGCAGTTCAACGGAACTTTGGCTTAAAGGCAACTTCACGTGGCTGAACCTATACTTCAAACTACACTTGTGAAAATGATTTCGTTTTGATAGTGGCAACCTTTGAGTTGAATTTGAAAAATCGGAGATTGTCTTATTTTGCTCGCTACTTCAATATTTCCTCAAAAGTTAATAGAAAAAAATCAAAACCAAACTTGTTCCAATCTCGAATATTGAATAAATAGGTAATAAATTTCTCATTAACCCTCAATCAATTCGAGAATGACACAGCTGAATTTTGTATTGACCTAGTTTGATCAGCCATTAATTTGTTTTGAAAAAAGCATGAACAAATTTATCGAAACATTCTTTTTGAATGCTTTCATATAGAAAGCATTTCATCAATTTTTTGTCTGGCTTCCACCGGATTTATTGATTTTTTGTATATGGAAACGATAAAAACAAATTAAACAAAAAACAAATGGCCAGTCTCTCTCAGTCACTCTAACTAACCTCTCAGAGTCTTCAAAGAATCCTTGAAATCATCATAAAATCTGGCTCAATTCTTTTTTTTTCAGCGGCAATATTAGTTCAACTTAATTCATTTTCCTTCCAGGGTGTTCGGGATTTTTCAAACGCAGTATCCACCGTAACCGCGTCTACACCTGCAAGGCGACGGGAGACATGAAAGGACGATGTCCTGTCGACAAAACTCACCGCAACCAGTGTCGAGCTTGCAGGCTGAATAAGTGCTTTCAAGCTAGCATGAATAAGGACGGTAAGCGAAAGATTATACTTGATGAGAATTTTATTACAATTTTTTTCGATAACAATAGGTTTATAATGTTCCACGCTAATGACGATTTGCAGTTATTGAAAACGAATGAGGTTTCAGGAAAATGTTTGAACTCGTCGATGTCGTTGAGTTCGTTTTACTTTCTGGAGCGAGATTCAATTGAAAAATACCTTGTGGTGGTACATTGTAAAAATACTACTATATCTACGCTAATAAAGGCGTGAATGAAAATTCTATATAAAAATAATGAATTTAAGGCTTGGTTGGGAAAAATAATTTCTATATAGGTGAAGTTTATAATAACTGTTTTGAACTGATTATGATGAGTACCAAAACTAGAGCGCACAATATATAGACTTGTGACGTCATCCAATCAGTGACATGATAGTCAAACGTCGATACTGTTTGGGTAAAAATTTCATAGTACATATATTAGGAAAAAAACAAGTGAACATGTGATTGTAATGACAAATACATGGATTCGATGACAATTGTGAAATTATTCAAAAAGCTTGAATTATTGCAGATAGCTGGAGTAATCCCAACTTCAGAAATAATCATTACAACGTACATCTTACGATACGTCGATTGAGAGAATTCTATACTGAATACAGTAGAAAAATGTTTTTTAAAATCTTTTCAATAACGGAGATACTTACTGAAGTGTATTTAAATGGAAATCTGGGAGAATAGGTTAAGTTCAGAGTAACCGTCAACAAGGGGGAACGTAGTTCAGTAAACTTTATAGTTACCCAGTGATTTTGACCATTGAGAGCTAGTTTCCCATTTTGTGGATTCCCATGGATACTTCAGATTCAGGAGCTACCACTGATGACAGAAATATGCTGTTTAAATAATATAGCTAAGCCGGTAAACGTTTTGCCACATACATTATTTCTATCAGAACAATAACACAAATAGTATTAATACCTTAACGCTATAGTGTGCACAATATTTTTCGTTAGTCTATGTTTAGCTAAAACAAACAATGGTTTGCCCAGTCGGGAGCATGCCTCGTATAATTGTGCGTGTGAAAGACATAGTGTGTTCAAATCCAAGTCACATACTGAGTTCTCGAGTTTTAGCAAGACTAACGAACAGCTATTCATTTTTATATATTAGTTTCATCGCCTTAAAATTTTACACATCATACTTTTTGTTGTTACAAATTTGCAGCCAATGAGTAAGAATCTCTTGTTATTTCAATTTCATCTGATTTTTTTTGCAGGAAGAAAGTTTGTAATATTCAGATTAGTATTGAAAGAATTATGAACATGAACCTGAAACTTGGAATCTTCAGAAATATAAAAACCATAGTAACGATCATTTACGAAAGCAGGCTTTCTCTTATGGTGATTTTGACAGCACATTGTAACAATGACTGTAATGATACTCTAGCACAGTCAGATTTTGATAAATGTCAGGTTACCTCAAAAATATACCCAAAATGTATCACAAGTATTCCTTGTGAGTCATACATAAAACATTTTTTCAACATTAGTTCTCAAATCAATTACCAACTCATTTTTATGTTTGCATCATAAGGCAATGGATATTATTAAAAAAAACAATTTTTGTTAAAATAAGTTTTCTTTTGTTTTGAAATAATTGTGGTATAAACTTACAATAAAACTTCAGTAACGTATTTAAACACATTAAGATTTTCCACTTTTGATATCCATGCAACAAACTGTTAAAAACCCTTTTCCCACCTCAAAACGAAAGTACTGACTCTTGACGTGCGTTTGCTAATACAGTATGTATCGATCAAAAAATGTAAACTTTCACGGCAGGAGATAACTATGTCAAAGCTATTTTCCGGGATTGCTGGTTGTAATCTCTAGGTTTTCAAGTCTGACGTTTAGCCTACTACGGAAGACATTTCGAAGGCGATGGGGAAACGGACGAAATGCTGATGTTGTTCCCACATACTACTTACTACATTGTTGGAATTTGTCTCCTTTCATTCCATTGGTGGTTTCCGAGGCTTCGTTTCTATTGGTTGGATTAAATGGCTTAATTGACTGCAGTTAACCTACAGGTAGCCAGATTTTATAATTGGTAATTCTCTTTTCCTTTCTATTGAATTTCTCTGTGTTTATGAATTTCTACTACTTTCCTATATAGGTACTTCAAAAAAATTACCCATTTATATGTTTTTGATACATATAGTCACTGAAATATTTCTAATCAACCGATTCTATCCTTTCTCTATATGATCAATCACCGACCGTCCCCAAATTTAAATACGCGTATGCGAATCGCCACACATGTATCTTTTAACATTTCAGCATCACGCCGCGTAATCCCGTACCTACAACGCACTCTTACACAAATCACCTCTCGTGCGGGTGGGTGTTTGGGGCTGGCGGGCGCCCCCTCGCTAGAGAGCCCCCTTTCGGCCTCGGGTCTGAGAACCTGCAGCTGCTCGCATCAACCCTGCTCATTAATGATGATGTGCCACACCGTTGTCGGCCTCAAGACTACTTCACTTCTCGCTACATCCCTGCCAGACAAGGCTCTCCGTCAAACGCGATAACAAAGCACCCTATAAATCTTCCCAAAAACTAATTTTCGGCTTAACGAAATTTAGGTGTGATATTTTTTAGGCTCCGCTAGTGAAGATGGGTGATTGATGTTCGCCTGGGCTGCGCTCTGAAGGTTTTTGCTCAGAAAATAATTGAAACATTAGCTTCTACAAAGAATATCTGAGGAACAGTGAATGAGTGTTGGGAATGAATCCTCAAAACCTGGCGAGTATTTCGGTTCTGCTTGTGCCTGTTGGAACAGTTGTCTGATGTATATTACGCTTAAGAAAGACAAAACGGTTTATTGGGAGTCGATAAAATTGAAATGATTCTCTACTCATAGTACATTTGATATTGTCTGAGAGTGAAATAATTTCAAGAATGCAAACATGCCGGAACCTCAAAGAAAACAACAAAGTCGCACTGCAATTTATCCACGAAATCACTGAGATATTTCTACCCGCTATGCCCCTTGAGGACGCCGCTAAGGAGCCATTAAAATAGTGACTTGCGACAAAAAACTTCAAAAGAGGTGAATGACGTCGTTTATCACATTGCGTTCTAAATAGTATTAATGGGCGTCGTACTGGGGGTATTGATATAAATTTTCCAATGATATTCTGTATGATGCGAAGTTAACTGAAATATCGTGAAAACTAATATTGTTTAAATATTGTATCTTGAGAAGGACAATTCAAATTTAAAATAGTGATCACAATGATACAATATGGGAATGATCAGAATAGTACTAATCTATTTATCTTTTGATTTTCATTTAATTATTCTCCAGCAGCTTGACTGCATTAATCTTCCTCGATTTAATATTTGATTCAATTTTCAGAACTTATGCCAACTTTAACATTTGCATTTTCTTCCACATCGAAAAATGTGTCATTCAATTTTTTCTATCGTACACCAACAGCAACATCTTGATTATGTTTCCAAAGTTGCAATCTTTGTAGTTATTGTTCATATATAACCTTAATCAAAAAAGAACCCGGCAGAAAAAACAAACTGAATGGTGTTGGTCTTAATATTGGTGCTCTCCTAGTGTCCCAAGATTTTTACACTACTCACAAAATAAACTGTGGATAATTGACTCTCAGTCAATCTGACTCAATGAAAAAATAATTCTATTTATGGAAATAATGAACGAATAAAACATCTATCTATACTAATATAAATGTAAAAATTTGCGAGGATGGATGTATGTAAGTATGTATGTTTGTGAATTGACTCTCAGTCAATCTGACTCAATGAAAAAATAATACCATTTATGGAAATAATGAACGAATAAAACATCTATCTATACTAATATAAATGTAAAAATTTGCGAGGATGGATGTATGTAAGTATGTATGTTTGTGGCTCTTTCACGCCTAAACGACTTTACATAAATATAGCTTAGACATCAGAATAACATATAGGCTACAATTTACAAAGGTTTTGTGTAATTTTAGTCATAATATAACGATAAGTATCAAGTAAGTCGAAAAAATTCTTGCTTCCTGAGAGCTATCTTGGCGTGCGCTGCTTATACCGTTAGAGTTACATAAAGATAATGTACCGTAAGATTGTTTATCTTGAATAGAGTATTTATCAAATTCTCATAAAAATTTATACAATTGTCGTTTTGAGTATTTATGATAGTAATTCGAACGTTTAAAAGTTATTACGATAATTTCAAAAAGTACACCTGTGCTAGCGAAACAGATATTGTGATATATTTTTCAAAGTTTGTGGAGATCAAATCGTGAGGTGTAGTTTTTGTAATTACTATGGATCTTCATCAAGTAACAGCCGAATCAATCAGATCATTACGATAAGATTAACTTGACAGAACACATTAAACCATTACGCGTCGCATCTACTGTAAGACGGTGACGGACGATTCGCAGGGGTAGAGTAGGGGTCTTAGCAATAAAGCGACATCACCGAGAACGCGACCCGAACGCGGGCAGAATCGTGAGGGCAGACTTTGTTGACGGTTGTGTTAGTTTTGCAAATTTCTTTATTGGTAACATAATGCGATTCTCGAAGCTATTCATTACTTAGTGCAGTTGGCATATTTTTCAGTTACTATATTTTCAAAGTAAAAATATAAATTACTACCTGTTGCCTGCTCTTATATTAACGTACAGCCGAAGCTATTGAACCTAGAACCTTGAAATATGCAGGTAGATTCTTTAAATAGCGTGAATAAGCATCAAGAAAGGGAATCAGGAATGTTCACCCACAAGGAGGAAAAATAGGGGTTCAAAGATTGTATTGAATTTGGTCAGTTTTGAAGTTGGAAACCTAAAGTTTTGGGTTAATAGTCTGTCGCGAAACTTAATGTGACTAACCAAATTCTACGCGGGCGAAGTCGCTGGCAACAACTTGTCTTACATACATGAGGAAAGAGAAAACCTTGATAGTAACTTGTATTATTATTAAGTTCAACTACAACTGTAT